CGCATTAGTATACTCGAGTTAAACGTGGAAATACGAGAAAAATATGATGAACGGCTTGACAAAACTGAAACAAAGAGAAACAGTCGGAATTCTCTAAAAAAAAATTAATTCTCGAAGTAAAAATAATTCAACGGGCATAAGTTTAATGAAGTGCTACTTCTCAGGAATTAAACAGTGAATACAGTGATCGTTACAAACAGAAAATTGCGTTCTACAGAAAAATCTACAGAGAGAACCGGCAAGAAAGCTCCACTTCGTTGTCTCTTTACAAAAACAAGGCACCAGAGTCGTATGAAAGCAAATGTGACACCAATGTTCATAGTACTCGCATCGAATAATCGAGATACGAGTATTGCTCTACAATGCTAAAGCGAAAGGTAGAAGCTATACATTACGTTCGCGCTCACGTTGCCTACATAAAGTGGCGCGATGAACTCGAGTCATTGAAAATCGGCGATCGCGACGATGCAAAGCAATACTCGATCATGTTGATTACAGAAAACGGCCAATAATCGCGACGTGATTGCCACTCAACATGACACCACGTAACAACGACTGGAATGCACACGATCCTCCCGCGAACGGTTTATATTGTTAGGTCACAGGGTACGAGACAGTCGCATCTTCAAAGTGATGGATCGCGTCTACGGCTTCGTGCCATTTTACGTACATTCTTTTCTGCCCGCGTAGACGTGTCACCTCAAAGCCGTTAAATTAAACGTCCTATTCAAGTTGGCTGCGAAATTACATTTAAAAGTGGGAAACGTTGAAAAATTCAGCTAACCCGGACGTATTCGTTCGGTATGAATATAAACGGTTGAAAAGCTACTACGATTTTTCTACTACCGTGTAATTGATGTAATCACCGGCTATTCAACGAATATTCAACACTCGGATTTCGCCGACTCGCTCGCCGGGGGAAAGAAATTTTCGTGATATCGCTTCAGCGAATACGTTTCGAGCCTTTACAGCCGAATAAAAAAGAATTGCGCGTGAAAAATGATATATTCGACTAACAAGGTACATCAAATGGTATACGCCGATTTTAATGAGACTGAACTATATTTATTGCGTGTTGTTGTTCGTTAAAAACTATAATTTTTTGCTCTATCTGTGCGCCAAGTTTCGTCAAAATCGGCATGCAACATTGGGTGATGTTTCTTGTTAGGTACGAAAGTCCAAAATGAATCCTTTGCACTCTTCACCACCTCGTTGCAAAATATACGAACAGGAATCACATTAAATAAAATAGTATAAATTTGGAAACATGACTTTTTTGATATTGTAGCTTTATTGAAGTGTTGACACCACCAATAAAATTTGTTAGACTTATAATGCCCCCTCATCCGGGACATCCGAGTGTAAAGGGATAATAGATGGACTTCTTTGCATACCAAAAATCAGTTGACCTATCATTAATATTGTCCCCTAATGTCCCATAACACCGAGGATCCTATCAACGATCCCTGACATCCTTTGTAGAATAAACAATTAACACTGAAATTCCGTTGCCTGAGGTTACTAAACAATGATTAGTCTGGATCTTGACCCCCATTCCATGTTCTTTACCGTAACAAAGTTGTAAGTGGCAGAGTCACCGCTCGTATTCTCCGTCGAAGCAAAGTTCCTGGTTCGTGACCAAATCCTTCTCCAACCACTTTGCGACAATTTACGGTTCCCCGAGACACGCGACGAAGCGACGGACGGTTAAAGGGCACGTGAACGAGATATGACCCGAGAAGCGTAAAGATATTCAACTGGTTCTGCTTCCGTCCCATCGCGTCGTCACTGTCAGGAGAACACAGAGACCTTTCCTCGTCATTTCTTCCGCGTAAGAATTTTTTTTACACCTCACTGACAAGCCTCATAACTCTACGAGAATCGAGCCACCCCTGTTTTTGTCACCGGTTCCTCGTTTCCCCGAGGCGATAAAATGAGCCAGCTTTCTCATACTACATGATCAAATTGTTACGAGCACTTAAAAATGATTGCTTGTCTAAACTTGTAATGGAAGCTCTGTCATTATAAAGTTTATTACGTTTTTAATAACGCCTACGATTGCGCAAGCGACTCGCTCAGTTCTGGCGCGTAAATTGGACGCATGCGCGTGAGGTGTCTATGCTAACCAGCTCCAAAATAGGGAAAATGTAATTTGAATAATAGTTGAATACAATCATCATCATTTTCGAAATTCGATTTGGTTTATAGGATGAATATACCAAACAGAACCTAAATAAAATAGACGAAACATTTACATTAAACACACTTTAAAGAATGTTCGGTAATGTACAAAATTTATATTCATTTTTTTAGTGTAGAAAAATTGAAGATGCAACATATAAAACTGTTTAGAAACTGTTGAAATGTGACTAAATTTAAAAAAATACGGGTTTCAATCATCTGAGAAACAGTGGAACAGGGGACGCATTCAGAAGTATGAAGAAATGTAGAGGATGAGAGTAGCCACGAGGACCTTTTCAATCCGACGGAAGAATCCGAGGGATTTTTATCTGCAGCGCAAACTTCCGGCACAGCCGCGCACGGTCGCACTTGACTTTCTTGCGGTAACTCGCGAAAGAAGTAATGGTCCCTTCAATTCCAATGGAAATGCTCGTAGTTTTTCGTGAACCTGGCGAGTCTTCTAAAACGGCAAGTCTTATGGAGCAAAAATTTGTCAGAAATCGCGCGGCTAGCCACTGGATATCATTTCGTCGAGCAGTAAAACTTGTTCTCCGATACACGATGGTCTGGACAGCGAGTTTTCGTGACCAAAACTCAATTTTCCAACCGCAGTATAGGAAAAAAAAACTTTTACGTGCATTTTTACTTCCATTCCAATTTTTTTTTTTCATCACTGTAGACAAAAATGACTTAAACTATTACAATTTAAAATCTTTCACCAATACTTGTACGTGTCTAATATTATAGACAACAAGAAAGTTACAAATACTCAAAGCCTAAGAGTGGTAGCTCCTTGTCCGAGTAGCGTAATATTCGAGGTATTAAACGACAGACAGTTTCGAGAGAAAACCAATGGGTATAGAGCTTTCAGAGTATCCTTATCGCGAGTAGTTTGAAACGATAGCAGTTCCATTAAGTAGACGTTCCCTTCCTCTGCGCTTTACAACCACTGCTTTCGCATACACACCAACATTTCTCCAAGGTGTATCTATCGTATGAGCCGCGCAAGCTACGCTCACGAATGCACAATTCCTCCCTGCTATCTCAGATGACAACGCCGTCGAAATGTAAAACACAGTCGACGATGGAGCGAAACGTCTAGGAAATCACGTTGCATTAAAAACTTATCTCGAAACTGGGAATTCTTATGCAGTTGTGCCAGTATGCGAGCACGTAACGCGTGGACTAAACGTATGCTAGAAATGTACACTTCTGAAAAATGAAATAGTAATGTCGATGTTAATTTAGGTAACATATTCTATGCAAGAGTGTCAGAGACACTCTTCATATCTCTTCTTCGTACATTCTTCATATATCTCATAGTTTCAAAAAACGCAACGTATAGATATTCCGTAAATATTTTACGTTACATGGAAAAGTGTTTCCCAAACATATTTGGAAAACACATCTCCAACGAACACATCGTTTAGAAAACGAACATCGGGAACGACGAGGGTCCCTATTACCCCGAACATTGTACAACTTTGTCGACTGAAATCCTTGTAGTAAATTACAGCGAATCAACTACAAAGCTGGCCGGATTTCCGCATTAGAAGCAACAATACGCGGTTCGAGGGACCGTAAATCTCGATCTAACGAACGTGTTACTGTTTTTGTTTGCGATCGGCGCCACCGAATGAACGAGCGTCAACGTTAACACGACCATTTATGTTAATTGCGGCACTTCATCGACGAAATGAATTACCGTTACAATGTTTCGTCCGCGCACCTGCGCCCGTAATCGGCCGCGGGGAGAAACGGTGCAACGAAAAAGGAAACTCGTCGAAGAGCGAGGCACAACGCGGCCCACCATTAAGGACAATTTATCATTTAAAGGTGGCTTGTTCTTGTAGCGCATCCTCGACAACGCGCGACAGCTTCAAAATTAACTTTCTTACTTCCTCTTGACCCGTATTCGTCCTACGTGATACGACGTTTCTGAGCGAACAAGCTCCGCGGTCGAAAACCGAGGTATTCCTGTCAAAGATGCTTTACTAAACAATTTAACAAATTAACAACCAAACAAAGGGATCGGAAGTATGGAAAATTACGACGAGAAATAATTAGGGATCGTGTCAAACTTATTATACGGTACATAAATGTAGGATAGCGCGATCAAGGCAACATTGAACATTTATTTTAAAAAAATTATTGCATTATCTACTTTAGGTTAGTTAAGATTCGTAAGCGTATCGTTTTTGTTTAGAAGATTAATTGTAAGTGGCGTGAGCCAAAATTACGATGATCGGAGAGGCAGTCCCCGACGGATTACTTTTACTCTACATAATACAATGTGGTAGAAACTCTTCGCGATGGAATTCTTGGAAACTTTGAATAAAGGCGCGCCATTATTCCCAAGGTGTATTAAACCCGTATGGTTGCCGACGATAGCGGAACGTGCCGATAACGTACGCGAAGCTCAAAACTTAAGACACATTTTAGGCTTCGATAAAGCCCTCCAATTATCCGCCAAGAAAACCGAATTATCCCTCGTTATCGGCGTGCATCGGCGTAACAAACTCGGGGGCCCTCGATGACGCTCGCCTGCCAACATCATCGAAGATTTAATTACAAGAGATTTAAGAAGGATTACGCGCTAATACCTTACCATTATAACCGCCCAGGTGGCCCCCGTGTACGTACAGGCAAGAATTACACGTGTGATTACAGCTCGAACGCGTTATCGTCGAAATACGCCGGCATTATCGGGAAATATGTAAATCAGCATTATCGAATCGCGGAGGAAGCGCTAATAAATGTACCGTGCCGCGCGACGCAACATTAATTCGTCGAATGATTATTATTATCGATGTACTCACCTTTCAGTGCCTGTTGTCGATACACCCCTTTCGAAAACTGGTACCCTCCGCTCTGCGCGTCTCTGTTATCTTCGCCTCTCGCTCCTCGCTGCGAAACGACAATCCAATCGTCTCAAGGGGAGATTACGCTGACTTCTTTTCACTGACGAACCATAGCCACGCGAAAAATTCCGCTTCAAGAGAGCACGTTCGCGCAACGACGACCGCTCGAGTTCTCCATTTTCCTTGGGCAACGTCGAAAGGACAATCTCGAATTAAGGGGAACGTGGTACTGCGAGCAAGTAGCAGGATTTCTTATGATCACATCGATAGACTGGTCCGATGCAAGTCCGTGTATTTTCTCTGTTTATTTGAGGTTGTCCAGTAGCAACCCCTAGGTGAGACGAACGCGGAGGAGCAGTCTTGCCTGTGACGATTGACTTCGTACACTTTTATACGTTTATAAGACACAGTGTCTTCTTCCTATTGGTTAGTTGTAGTATTCTCTATCCAAGTTCAAAGGAATCATGTAACAAAATGTATTCCTGACACGAAAAGGTACCAACAACCCCAGAGTCAAGTCGAATACACGCTGTTCCCAGAGAACATCTGTTTTCCTTCGCAAACTACGCAATATTCCTCCTTGTATTGTTTGCTCCCTGTTTGTTCACTTTACGCTCCCGTCTCTATCCACGATCGAGTGGTTGTCCGAACCGTAAAGCACTGTTCTTGTCGCGCAAACGGGACGTCTAACAATCGCTGCGGCAGTTTCGAGGATTCGGAGCGACGAGGAGCGTCCACTTGCGTCGCGGGTTCCCTAACGACGCCGGCGTTAACAGCTCCTCGTTAAGCCCACGGCGCGATGACGCGATGACGACACCTGGAAACATCACATTTCTGAAGCACTCGGCCGGCGTTTAACCCGATCGTGAATAATCGCGGTGACTGCGATTGGATTTGTTAGCCAACCCCCGTTCCGCTCCGCTAACTCGCAATTTCGCGCGCGTCAATCAACGAAACTCGATCTAGCGTCGTATATGACCACGTGTATCCGGCGACCTGGGTCTCGATGGAATAATTTCAACGACGAGCCATCGTCTTGTCCCGAGAAAATAGAAACGTGGCGCCAACCTCGATGACGAACGTTTAAACATTTTGTGAAGAGATCGTATTCGGTATTCTACAGGTGAACGTTGTTACTTGGTGTAGAGGTGAATTAGGGTAATTTGAGGGACTACGGATGGCTAAAATTCTGGGCATCGTTGTTTGGAATTGTTAAATTTGATGCATACAAATTTTGATTTAAATTGAATACAAAGTACTACATCAACACTGTTTAACAACTACTCAGAAATAATTGAAATGTCTTCACCATCTTTTGCAGGACAGCCTTACCGAGTTTTGTTAGAGTGACGCTCGCTAGTTGCGAAGGAAGCGACCAACAAAAATGGGAATCGCGGGGTTCGGGTGTACGATTCGGGAGCAGCCTCGCTATCCCCTTTTAATCGCGTGCCAGCGTTACCGGATAAAGCAACGTGTAATTTGTCGCAATTGGTATTGTTCGGTGTTTCCCGGCTTTCCTGTTACGCGTCCCTGTCCTCTCTGTTTCTCCATTTAGCCCATTTTCTACGACACGTTTTTTTTTTCTCTCCTCCCTCGCCTCTGTTTTGCCCGGCCGTTTCCACGTACGGTCGGAAAAGTCTGGAATCGGGTAACAGAGCGGGTGTGTTCCAGTTTTGCGGCGACCGGCGCGGAGTTTATAATCGGCGTTAACAACGCGAACATCGGCGAACCCGCCTCGCGATAATTCCCAGCGATAACAGAAGGAAATGCACGATTTCCTCGCGCTGTCGAGGAAAATCGTTAGAAGGCGAACGGCAGAGAAATTTAGAACTCCATACCCCCGGAACCATAGGAACGTCTTGTCCAGGAAAATTGACTTGCCTTGAAAAGGAAGCTAGAAATGAATCGCGATCGTAGAAGGGTAGTTATCGAACCTTGGAGACTTGCTAAGCCACTGGAACGTTTGCGAACGTGCGTATGAACGTGTACGAATTAAATGTTGATTCATTAGCGGGAAAGTACTTTAATTTTGAGAGCTGTTTTTATCTTCGATGATACGTGGTCTCTTAACATAATCGACATTAAGAAGATCTCAGAGGGAGCACTTGAGGATTCAAAATTAGTTCAAGGGGTGGCTTTTGCAAAAGGCGTGTTTGAAATGCAAATCGGAAAGTATCTGCACTTTTGCCAACGTGGATTCGTGTGTAATTGACCATGTATCACGTTTTCAGCCATTTTGATGATGGAAATAAAGTTAGATGAAACCAAAGGAAAATATTTAAAAAGAGTATAATAAGCTATTACGAAAGAAGCGAAACAGAGTAAAGTATTTTTATATGAGACAGATGTAAATATAGATACGCACGGATCTGTCATGAATCGTAAACAAAAGGCACAAGGTACTAGCAGACTATATACAGTCAGTTCCATAAGTATTCGTATCCTTGAAATAAATGTTTCATTATAAATATATACATGTGTAAAGTTTATTCATGCACATATTTATAATGTAAAGTGTATTTGGAAACATCACACCTACCATTTAATTTAGACTCGTTTCTTAAATGAACGTAAAGAATACGACTACTTATGGGACTGACTGTATCGTGTTATGGTCAACAACTCCTGGTCCAAACGTTCCCAAATTCCATTTTCATCGTCGCGACACCGTATCCTATGCCTCAGGTGTACAAAACGCTTCTAAAATAACATAACCTTTAAATACCTCCCAAGAATTTCATCGTCGAGTCAGCGTGCGTTTCGTCGAGAAAAATAATTGCTACGTCGCTGGTCGATCCGTGAAACTTACACGCATTTGGATGTCCTCCGCGAACTGGAAATCCACTATCACCTCGCCACTGTGGCTTCGATAACCGCGTGAACGACGCCACTCGGGTAATACGCGCACCCCGGTCACAGAATCCGATGCGTGTCGCGTTGTTTATCGTTACCACTCGCCGCGTTCACCGAGTTTCCGGGCGTGTACGGAATCCGCGGTAGTAGGATCGTCAGTCGAGAAACTATCGACTGGAGATCGGGACGCTTTATCGTTGACACACGATCGACACCTCTCGTCACATGTCGTCGCCGAAATCGAAGCACTTCGTCCACGAGCGGGCCTGTTCGTCGATAAATCACTGCTCCCGGGGCACCCTGTCACAACTTTCCAGGCGACGATCGTCGATTCACCCGCGTCGGATCGTTTTCACCCGAACTTTCCGTTCGTTCGCTTGTTCGCCGCTGGCAATATTTCCAGTTCGAGGGTACGGTTTTCTCCGCGAGCGCGTACAAAAACGACGTAACGCGGTGAATAGGCGAGACGACACGAGACGCGGGAAGATCGAGCAGATGGAACCGTGCGCGATCGCCGGGCCGGATTTACCGCGCGAACCGCATCAATTTCAGCTGATCCGATCGCGACCGGGGGTAACTTTTTCACAGACACGGTTCGCTCGCCGGCTGCTCGTTAGGACTTCGCCTATGGACTGGCGGGCGCCGCGGCAAAAGCTACGGCGCAACACAGCGACGCATCTACCCCCTTAGAACCCCTTTGTCGCACAGACACCGACCAATACCAACGTACCGCTCGCGTTCTCTACGCTTTCCAGCTTTCCTTTCGCGCCCCACCGGTGAAACGTGCGCCCGCAGACGGCCACCCGATGCACCCTCTCCCGTCGATCAGGATGACGATCCGTCTTTTACCCTTCGGCCGCGGACCTCTATCTTTTATTGGCATTCCCGCGCTACCCGTTGATCGAGGGAAAATTGTACCGAGTAATTTCTCTAATTACGGGCTCATGCCTCCCTCCTGCTGTAAACAACGACGTTTTTCAGCGAAGGAAAGGCGGAATTGGAACCGAAGATGACGAGCGAGGCGAGGTTTAATTCGTGCACTTTACTCCTCGTTTATATCTGAAAACAGTTACCGCGTAGGTATGTGCTTGTATTAACTTTGCATCGCATTAGAGAATGTATTCTATTAATAATTTGTTTAATGCCTCACTTGTACTAGTATTAAACCTACAGACGTTTCGTTTGTACCAATATAACCTAATAGCTACACTGCAAGATACTTTTTTGATTTTTCAATTGAATGTAAAAATATCGCACCTGGTACTAAACTGAATGATGCATGAAATAATTGTACATAATTTATATATTGATTATGAGAACTGTATATACAGACTTATAAACGGTCATTTGACAAGTCGTAGTCGATTTAGGGTTAATAAATGAACAATTCAATTTTTATTTGTGTACTTGTAACAGTCTTTGCAACGGCCAATCGTTATTTCATTCAATATAAGAAAATTCAGTATGAGAACGGCAGTAGAATAGGGCTCGCAGAGTCAGATAAGAGCTAGCGCTGGCAAGGCGAGTAGTATAGGGGCGTACTTGGTCAGACATAGAATTACGCAGTTGCTGGTAAACGTTCTCGAAAACTTTAATGTTTTCAGAATCAAAAGATAATACTAATCATGTTTTTTACTGGTATGCACATAGTACAAAACCTGCCATTGAAACTCGATCGAAACTCTCGTAAAGGTTAATATCGTTTCAGTCCCTGAAAAATGAAAGGATGTTGAAATATTGAAGTTTCACTTTACTAGTTATAGTCATCAATCAAAACGTTGACTCGCGTAATTACAACGACCATACAATATTATTAATCTACATAACAATCTTAATAAAATAAAAAGTGATGATCCAGAGTGAAAGACTGAAAGATGCGATCGCAGTTTCCTTTATCGATCAAGAGTACAAGTCTCCTACCGAATGAAAATTGAATTCCCTTCCACGTGCTGCAATCATGACGTAACTTCGAGGGTCGAAGAGCGATCATCTTCAATGGTGGTGCAACTTGATTGATGCGCAACATCAATCAATCCCTCGTTCGCAAATTACATCAGGTTTATATTAAGTAGTTTATCATGTTGTCGCGATACTTTGCAGTTCACCGATCTCCTGTCAACCCTTAAACATCCTTTTTCTTGGGACAAACAAATTTCAAAGATTTCACCACGATCGACTGCCGATCTAATTCGATAATTATCACCTATATTTATCTTTACTTCTACGTATCGTGTTTTATCCGATGCTTCAGTTCTTAGCATATCATTTTCTAATAAAAATTCTTTGTTTTTACTATTTTTGTACAGTCTCGCTAAACCAATTAGCGACAAACAAAAAGCAAAGCGAGGACATCGCTCGAGATTGAATAACAATTAACGTCAAATAAACTCTCCAGATTGAAAATGAGAATGAATAAGAGAAAAAACAGTGTAACGTGGAAAAAGGCAAAATCGATGGCGAGCAAACGTCCAGAGTAAACGAAAAGCTTTCAATTCCGCTGATATCTTCAGTAAGAGTACAAACAAACGATAATAGTAATAAAAGCGATAATACCGGTTTTTCACGGCTTGGGGTGCAGACGAACGTCTCGGTCTATATAATTCAATTTACACTGTGCGAATCCACAGAAATTAGAAAATAAAAATTACTGTATCGGACATCCGTGAATGGGAACTTTAAAACGAATAAAAATATTTAAAATTGAAAAAGTTATGCACGTAGCAGGATTAATTATTTCACTAGAAAATGACGAGCGTGCTTTGACGAGTCGATTGAAACCCTCAGCAGAAAACGCGGTACACATTTTATTAAATATTCACAAATCGCGGAACAGCTATATTCGACCGTGCCAAAAATCAAATTTTCAATGTATTATACGGACATTTAATGAAACAATTAGCAACAAGCGACTCGAAATCAAATGAAATCGACTCGCGTTTGTATCGGCGCATAAACGCGTGCATGAAATATGCATGAGAGTTATGCGCTAAAACAATGGTTCTCAAATTGGAAGAGCGAGCTCTCGCTCCGGCACGTGAAAGTTTAAAATTTGTACAAAATTTAGGAAAAAAACTGTATTTTAATATCGAAAACAATCCGCAGATTCGAGCAAATGAAGTATCGCGCACCTTTCAACTACGATTCAAAAAAAAAAACAAGAAAATAAAAAAAAATAATAATGGTAGCGTTCGAGGAGAAAGTGCTCTCGTGGAACAAATGGTTAAATTTAATTTGAAAAGTTTGGTATCGTTAGCAGATATGAGCAAAGCAAGAATCTGCTATATTAAAATTTATCATATTAATAAAAGGATGCATGTAATTACTACGCTCGAAGTTTTATTAAATTAATATAGCTTTCTAATTGCTACTGCTTCCACGAAACGAAATCAAATTTATCAACTCTTCTCCTGCGTTCACATTTTTGCAAGCACAAGTTTCGAATTTATTTTGAATTAAATTTTTATACGCATACGTTTCATATACAATCGTTCAAAATTCCATTCGTGTAACACGCATGGTATGCGAAAACATTAAAAATAGACGCGTGTACCAACCTAATATCGTATAATTGAATCGTCGTAGTACGTACTCTCTTCATCGAAGTAGAAATCCTTTCCAAATCGAAGTCGTCAATGAAAAGCGGCGACGATTAAAGATTAAAGTTTCACCAAACTTTCCCACCGCGAGAAAAATCAATCCATAACCAATGAACGTTTTCTACGTGTCGTCGCATCGAAAAGTTGGAACTCGAACCTGCGTCTTCTCGATAAGCGATCAAGATGGACCTGAGTTTACTCGGAACTTCATTCCGAACTTGAAACGTCTCCTCGGCCACAAAGTTTTCGGCAGATACCCAAAAGAGCTTTCCAAGTAATATGGAACGTACGATCGGGTATTACTCGAATAGCAGCCTGATCATACCTCATCCCGAACCTGCCCTCGTGCAAGCAATATACCTGCTGACAACTTTTAGTTGCGGGCACTCTCGTCGATGTTTCACGAGCTACTTGGTACGCGATTTCGAATTAAACGTCGCCCAAGAGTTGATCGCTAATATCTTCACGGCTTAATCATTCCCTCGCTGTTCGATATGACTCAAAAGATGAACGGTACGAGGAATTCGTGTTCAGGCAGCGCGACAGGAAGGCCTCTGGCATAAACAGTTATAACTTTGGCAATTTCGACATTTTCTAGATACATTTAGAATTTGTTAAAAATATTTTTAAGACCACTTTTAGGTAAGTTTGGATAAAATATCGAGTATTGCATAAATAAAATGCTGCGGAAAGAAACTCGTTTGAATAAAATTGCTACTTTCTCAGTCAACAGTCAGCGCCGCAAAGAATCAGGTTTCTCAAATAACTATGCCCACCGGAACCGTCCAGCCTTTTCTGGAATTCACGAAACGGTGAACCTGCTTCGTTTCAGTGGCGACGACTCGTCTCCTAATTACAGACGCGTAGTCCAATTAGGAGCACGAGAGTCCGCCATTAATAGAACTGTCATAAGTCGAAAAGTTTTTGGAAATGACGAGCCCCGTTGAGTGAAACACGCGAATTAAAGTGTACACATTCTTATAGAGATTATAGAGTTTTAGAATCAAAGAAGCTGATGTACAGGTAATTATTTCTAATAATCGAGAAAAATTAGTTTCATTTGAAGAGGTTTCGCAGCATAGCAGAGCTTAACAGAGGTATATAACGGAGCTTTCTGGTGTGAAAATGTCGAGACCTCGAACTTAGTTTCACTAATAAAGGTTCCCCTCTCATTCAAGTACCATTCATCTGGAACCCACTCATCCAAGTCCTACCTATCCAAATTCGCTGCATGTTGACTTTCGAAGCCTTAAATTCCAAAAATGGAACAAGCCAAGCCGGGAAATGGCGCGGAAAGGATGAACAGGACGCTTCGGACAATGCAGAGGGGATCTTGGGGGACTGATAAGGGTGGCGCAGCATTGGAAGGTGAAAAGAGCGGCATCGAATCTCGGCGACAGGAGATGCGGCTGCGGAGTTAACTGCAACCGCAATGAGCAGTCGTGTGTTCGTTGTTCCCAGGCACATAACCTGAACGGCCGGCAGTTAGGTCGTTGGAAATGGCAAAGAGCTGCGGTGGGGCGAGAACGGGGGGAGGAAAGCAGAGACACCCAAGCAGGCGCGTTGCGCGCTCATAGGGCGCGTACCCTGTTTAATTAGCGAACAAATTAAACGTCGGGACAGCCACATCCGACATGCCCACGTAATTAGAGGTATTATAAATTAATTATAACATCGTGGCGCCGCCAGTTTTGTGGGATTCAATCTCGGAATGGGCTCGGTATTGCATGCCAAATGAATGCCAAACAACTTACGTCGCCTTCCGTGCGCCGTAGATCCTTCCAATGTTCTTCTGGCTCTTCTTGCGTTTACTCCGATTTCGCACCGTATCTCGGATACGCTCGCTTACTCTTCCTCCAGCTGCGACTAACGATTGACGGTCGGGCAGATTACGTCGCGCGTGGGATATCAAACCGGAAGTGTCGAGAAACGGTAAGATAGACTAGCGTGTCACCTACTTCCGTAATGCGTCTCTGCTCGTGGGGGCGTTATGTGTGGTCGAGATATTCTGTTGTGAG